CAACTCCTTCCCGAATCCCGATCCTAAAGACTCGTGTAGGTCTCGTCTGTCCTGATACTACGCCTGCATTACCACAGTCTAGTACTGAGACGGCACAGGCAATACCAGGGGGACAGGATACTACACCTGCATCAACTGAAAGGCAGTGTGTGAAAAGCAGCAAAGACGTCATAAGGCCTCGAAGGCGTCATCAAGGAAGGGAGACGAATGTCAGGCGTGTAATATCGTAGTTTCTAAAACTGACTCAGCGTTTGAATGCAACTTTTGCAAACGATGGATGCACTGCCGTTGTGACAAAGGGGTGCCGAAAGCATACTACGAGTTTATGAGAAATAACCTATGCCTGTGGTTTTGGTACATCTGTCCACTTTGTCGCCCTGGCATAGTCCCACATAGCGTGTCTGTGGATAGCAGAAACAACACGACGCTCTTGTGTCCCAACACAGTCTCATGCAGCTCCCCACCTGCTAACACCACACTGCCAAAACTTGGCACAGACAGTAAGAAGGACACTCCAGTCCAACTGACTGGAAATGCCAATTTTCACAAGGTGAAGATTCACAAGGTTGCACCCACAACATCAGGGGAAGACAGAATTAGAAAAGCACCACTTGTATCTACAAGCAAGCTTGGTCAGGACCTGATGAAGCCCATAGTTGCTAACGCTGCAAAGGAATACAAGAAGCCAAAGGCCAAAACTAAGTCTGAGGTTAGTCGGTCTAATTCTCTTATCCTCTTTCACGTACCTGTGAGCAAGGATAGCTTGCTTGAACAACAGGTCCTGTTTGTTCAGGAACAGTGGTCCAATTTGTACATTGAATTAGATTTGAACATTGGTGTAGCGAAATTGTGCAGGCTGTACAGGTGTGTTCACACGCCTCAGCGTAAGCCACCCCCATTTAGGGTCATATTGGACTCTGCCGAAGAGGCCGAAAGAGTGCTATTAATGGATCAGGTACAAGCCATCGACAGATGTTCTAGCATAAGGGTGAGATATGAAAGACCACGGGCTAATAGGCGAATGGCTAGAGAGTCACCGGAACTGATGCCTTCTACCTCCATGGTGGTGCACTGTGTTGCGGAGCTGGAAACTGGCACTGCTTGTGAAAAACGCATGCATGACGTACACCAATAAATAAATAAATAAATTTATTCTCATATTGCAGTACATGAGAAACGCCAGTTTACAGGCATCATCAAATTGTTACAGAAATAGAAGCATATAATGCAATCGCAATTTGCAGGCGGTAGCAAGAAGACCCGTTGACGTCGTCTTCATAGACTTCAGCAAAGCCTTTGATAAAGTACCTCACAAAAGACTACTCATGAAGTTGGAAAGTCTTGGTATCAAAGGCAGCTTACTAAACTGGCTCAGGGAATTCCTCATAGATAGGAGGCAGAGGGTTAGGATCAACTCGAAACTCTCCTCTTGGACAGCAGTACGCAGCGGAGTGCCACAAGGCACGGTACTCGGACCTCTCCTGTTTATTTTGTATATCAATGAGTTATCTCTGCTCACCGATTCCCCTATGGTCCTATACGCAGATGACTTAAAAATTTGGAGAGAGCTGAAGGGCAACAGTGACACGTCCACGTTGCAAGAGGACCTCAACAAATTGTCAGAGTGGTCCATAGAATGGATGCTCCCGATAAACGTGACAAAATGTGCAACCATGCGCATTGGACAAGCAAGCACGAGCTCTTATGAACTAGAGGGAATTACACTTCCATCAGTTCAGACTTACTTGGACTTAGGTGTCATAGTTAGCCACGACTTAAAAACTACAGCACACTGTCGCGCGGTGGCTGCACGTAGTTTCAGGTCATTATGGGCAATTCGTAGAGCCTTCACTAGAATCACCAGAGATATGTTCACCTCCTTATATACATCCCTGGTGAGGTCAAGACTGGAAAACTGCATCCAGGCCGCCAGCCCTTGTCTAAAAGGGGACTCACTTATTCTAGAAAGGGTTCAAAGGAAAGCAACACGTATGATTCATGGCATGACTAACTTATCATACGAGGAAAGACTAGACAGTTTAAATCTCTTCTCCTTGTCATACCGTAGGCAGAGAGGAGATTTAATCACAATGTTTAAAATTTTAAATAATGACTACGGACCTGACCTATTTTCTCTTTTCCTTCCCACCAGGTCGGAACACCTTAGAGGACATAGCAGGAGAGTTCAAAAGCCAAGAAGAAATAATATTGCTGTTGAGTACTGGTTCTCACACAGAGTCATAAACTCTTGGAACCGACTCCCAGAAGAAGTGGTGTCTGCAACCTCAGTTGATTCGTTCAAGAAGGGTTTGGACAACCACAGAATTTTACTAGAAAAGGATTAACATAGGCTCCAAGCCTTCTATCCTCAAACAATAAATCTGAATCTGTATTCAGGGAGCGCGCACAATCAGGAGAGGAGAGAAAGTTCCACCAAAAACAAGGAGATAGGAGACCCGGAATATAAAAACAACGACTTACGCTGAGTTAGCACCGAAAATCTGATAGAAAATTAGCCTTAAATGGACTGACTTAAGTAACT